ATCAAAGGCTTTTCTTTCAAGTTAGTAGCACTGCTGTCCATTGCAGGATTTAGAGGGTCAGCATTTCCCTCATGCTATTAAAAAAGACATTTAAACATAGAGAGTATTTTAGGAATTTGAGCTCTGCTGATCTTTTCATCCCATACCTATATTTTGAAATGAACAAATAAATTAGATATACGAAACCTAGGAAATGTTCCCCATTGATTTCCTTCTGTTCCTCTTTCACTGTCTTTGGACAAAGGTAAATTATCAACTTGCTCTATCAGCTTTCAGCCAGCCACAAAGAGGCTAATTGTGGCTTTAAATATTTTAACATACATTCATTTATTCACAGTATTTTCTGCACACATTGTGTTTTCTCTAAACTATGGGGAATGTGCCTCACTCCCTGACTCCAGTGGTGGATACTATAGTCAGGCTTGGGCTTTTATCTTCAGGTAGCATTCATTTGTGGAGTGTATAAATCTGAATTTAGCTGCTCATTATTTTCATCTGCTAAATAAAACTAATGTTCATTTATAGATTTCAGTGAAGCCAGGCAAACAAAGTATTTGACATCTGAAACAAGACTGTAATAGGATTTCCTACATCTATATTTGATGTGAATTAGCCAAACCTCACAATCTATAATCCCAGCTAGCTTCATTGAATTTAGTCTTCAAAGTTTTGCTTCCAGACAGTATTCTGTAGTGGATATTGTAAGTATATAACATTACTAGGTTTTTAAAAGAACAGCGCCAGTGGTTCACGCCTGTAATCCTAGCTACTCAGAAGGCTGATCTGAGGATCCAAAGCCACTGGCGCAGGAAAGTCTGTGTGACTAATAAGCCACTAGAAAACCTGAAGTGGCGCTGTGGCTCAAGTGGTAGAGCGCTCACCTTGAGCTGAAGAGCACAGGGACAGCGCCCAAGCCGAGTTCAAGCTCCACGACCAACCAAAAAAAAAAAAAAGAATGGCCTAGTGCTAGAATGCTATCTTCTCCACATTGGTACAAACTCCCTTGATGGGCTTTCTGACTAGAGTTAGAATTTAAATTGGGTGAAATGAATCCAGAATAGATGAAGATGAACCATGAGTTCATTTCTGATCTTCATTTCATCAAGTATTAGTTGTGTTAATAACTTTGGTTGGGACTGTGAAGTTTGAGATGATCTTCTTGTGAACAAAGCTTTGTAGACATTGCTTTCCTGCTACATTGTGCAATCTACTATTTTAATATATGCGTAACTGAAAGACTTGTGTGACTGCCTCCCTACCATACTTCCTCCCTGCCCTCTCAGCTCCTATTTTTTCCCACATGAAGTATCATATATTTTGTTAGGAAGAAAAGCCCTTTTGGAAATTGCCAATTTCATAAATTGTCTGGTGACACAAAGAGGTTGAATGCTATATTCTTGTCTCATTTATTTTGAAAACTTTAGTACTGAACTCACCTTAATCAATGAGCTCAGTGTTGTCTCCAATAAGTTATGTGTTGGATATATTGATTGGAAGGGATTTTAGAAAACCCGTCTGGGGTTTATAATGTCAGCAGTGTTTTGATTATGAAAAGAGTTGGAACCTGGGGACATGGAACCAGGTGGTGAATGTCCTAAAGCCACTGGTGACATGGTGGACTGGTTCCCTCCTGGGACCTAGTTCATGCCCCGCACTTTAACTGTGGTGGCTGGCTACTATAGATTCACTTTTTTTGCTCATTAAAATGTTAAAAAATCAAACTGTACATAAAAAGATTTGTGAAAATATAAACTTGGGAATTGATCTGGAGAGCTGGCACACAATCCGCCCCACCCCCTGCCTTGGCAATGAGGTCATTTACATTTCATCAGCTGGGCTGGACCTCTGAGATCCCATTTATGTGGCAGTAGTTGAAGTTGTACTGAGGCTGCTTGTCTGAAAGAGCTTGTGTGGGGGAGAGAACAGGAAAATTGCTGTAGACAAAGGAAGTTCCATAGCCAGGTTCTAGAAAGAAAAAGGGTTTGGTCACAGTTAATGACTGTTTTCCCAGTAAGGTTAATATTGAAAGATGTTAGGGTGCGCTTCCATAACTAGAATGCTGAAAATAGATTCCCATCAGGGTTGTAAAGCCCACCCCCCCTTCCCGCCCTTCCCTTGGAGAGTGGCTTTTCCATATTTGAATAATTGTGTTTTCTTTGGACAAAGAGGATAAGGCAGTTGAATATTTATATGTGAAGAAAGCATCGATGTTAAGAAAGGCAATTTATCTTAACAGTTTTTATTTATAATGAACACTGCCTGTTTCTCCTCCCTCTTTTTCTCCTCCCTTTTCCAAACTGAGAAGTAGATATTTCAATTCTGATTGAGATCATGTGTAAATATGCCTAGCACCAAGTAGATGCTCATTTTTGTTTTCCTCTGACAGCATGCCACCATCTTGTTTGACTTAAATTGGAATATCAAGCTTTCAAAATAACATAAACATGAAGAAACATGTTGTAATGTACAAACCTGTCCCTACATTTGCCTATATTTCCTCTACTTTCTCCTTTCCCTTTTCCTCTCTACTGCTTAATTAGATTTATCTCTGTTTTTGTGGGTAAAAAGGAAAGCTCGTGGAAGGTGGATTACACTCAGTGTACATTGGGTATTTTGATATTTGCACTAATATTATCTGACAGGCAAGTTCATGGTTGGTTATTACTCTTGACATTAGATAAAGTGATAAGTAGTTTTGATATTGTAGTGGGTAATAAGTTGGGCATATTAGATTCCTTTTTCTCTGCTGTAGAGCGCAGTGCTTTCTCATAGCCATGGGAGTTCTTTCTTTCAAAAATCTTTGAGGCCTTTTGCCAGCTCAACTCCAACATAGAGTAGAGAAGTCTTTCTGCACCTGAAACTTTTGAGAGGTGAAAGATAAATGTCTTTGTAGTTGATAGTGGCAGTGAGTGAACATTTGGTACTAAGTTTTAAAGCATGTTTGGTACGTACTTTGAGGTTAAGAGATACTTTGTGGTATTATTTGAAACAGAAGAATCCTTGTTGTTGTTGTTTTTTATAGAGGCATAAGCCACCAGCTCTTGGCTTAACATTCTTAACTTTTTAATTTTTATTTATTTATTTATGTTGGTTGTGGGGCTTGAACTCTGGGCCTGGGCGCTGTCCCTGAGCTCTTCAGCTCAAGGCTAGTGCTCTACCACTTGAGCCACAGCGCCACTTCCACTTGTTGTTTTTAAAATACACATAAGTCACAACGTTTTGTTTATGTGTATCACTGTACATTTCATAATTAAAACTGAAAACATTAAAATAAATGTTTTATATGGTCTCTTTTTGTACTACTTGCATGATAGGAACATTAAATATTGAGAAATTACTCTTGTTCCCATTCCATTATTAGCTATTGCAGTTTATTTACATAATTGTTTTAAAAATGATATATATATATATGAACCTGTGAATGCTGTGATAAAATTAACAAATTTATAGATAATGCCTCTCAGAATATGCTAGCCATTCTTGTTTACTCTTTCTTATTTTTTAGTTTCCTATTTCTCATTCTTTCATAACATGCCTTAACAGTGCTGTGATATACATAGTACCAGTTCAAGATGATATTAAAAAATAGGATATGCTCAATTGAATTATGTAGGCGGAACATGCTCTGGCAGAGCAAGTCAATGTGCTTTCTGCTTCATTGAGTGGGTTATTAGATTGATGTGGTTTATTTCTTGAATGATAGAACTGGTTTTAAAAATAAATGAAGCGAGAAGCATCAATTCAGTTAGCATTGATAACTCATTATTATTGGTTAGAAAAGTGCTACATTTGTAAACTGATCTTTAATTTATCACTTGGATTAGTATTTGTAGTGGGAAGGTTTGTTTTAATTTGAACCAGCTTCTCAGTGACTGAAAAATGTGTTCTTCATTTTGTCTTGAAGTTGGATTTTAAATAGTTAAAAAGCAAATCAAATGCATGAAAGGAATACTTTTCAAAATTTATAACATTGGTCTATGAACTTATGATAAGCACCAACTGTGGACTGTCCAAACCTGCAGTTAAACTGAGCTAAAGTAAATTCTATGAAGGAAGTAGCAGTTAATTACTTATATATGTGGTTAGTAATATGTCTATATACTGGGTGTGAAAAATGTGTCTGTTGGGAAAAGTTCCACATCACTGTAGATTGTGTTGTATGTACTAGTATTCTTGTCTTAATTTAAAAATACTGTCTTTCATGGATAAGTCTTTGAGATGTCATTCTACTTTTTGTGCCCTTTTTTTTTAATAATGTGTTTGGCTGATACACCCCTGTATTTGTGTTTTTAAAAAAGGGATTTAAACTAATACTTTGGTTTGGATTTTAATAAACTAAAAACAGGTAAGTATGTCTAATTATAGTAATGATATTAAGCTAAAGACAGTATATACTTATAATGGTTCCAGCTTGATCCCAAAATTATTTTGTGACAAAATGTCAACTTCTTTATAAAATAAGTGGTTCTAAACTCTAAAAAAATATTGCTGACAAGGTTCAAAGACAATGAACTTCAAGTTGGCTTTCTGTTCTGCTGTAATTTTGCCTATTGATGTTGGGAAGTGTTGTTTAATCCTGGCCCCCTCTGTTCCTAGGTAACAGGCAAAAACAGTGCCAGCAACAGCGGCCCTGCCAGGCCAAACCCATGTGGCTTGGTGTTATTCACTCTGATCCATATGGTCAGGCTGGAGATGGTCCCTGGAGGGGTGTTAACACTCTGCAACCCAAGCGCCTCCCTCCCTTTGGAGCTTTCCTGCATGGCTCCTGCTGCTTACCCATGTGTGATTCTTGATTAATTTTTCATTTTTAATGAAGTTTGATCATGTTTATTATTTCTCATGATTGACTGCCTGGTACTCCTCCTTGTAATTGATAAAGCCCATATTTCTTCATCTGTCTCCTCTTTCTTCAGGGTAAAGTTGGTAGATTGTGTGTTGTGGTTAATGTTAGATTTATTGGTCCCATTAGATGTATAAATTATCTCTCTTTCTCTCCACAGGAAGTTCTACAGACTTTGACCAAGTTTTGTTTCCCCTTCTATATGGACAGGTAGTGTCAGATTTTCAACTTTATTAGAAAAAAAAAGTGTCATAAACCTTCTATAGAAAATAAAAACCATACCATTCTTAACATTCTGTCTGTTTAACCATGATTTAAAGCATCTATGTTCCATGGAGAGTTGCAATATTTTCTTTTCCTGGGGATTTTATTGATACCATCAAAAAGTTTAAAGCTTAGAGCTTTGTATTCGTTAGTTTGTGATATATGTTTTGGATGGCATTTAAGTTTTGATTTTGGTTATCAGACTTAAGTCATGATTAAGAATGGTTGGTGTTCAATCCAGTGCTATTTAATTTTTTATTTAAGTGTAAATGTATTTGGCTTAAACAAATAATATTACATGACTCCATGGTCTTATGAGTATTGTATAGATGTGGGTTTTCCCAGTCTTTAACTTATACTTTAAATCAGGATAGGCCTAAAAAAGCCTGCTCTTTCAAAGGCATGTTTCTTAGACTATTTTAAATTTTGTCTTAAGTGACTGAGAGTGTTTAGTATTTCTCTGGAGAAATCAGCATTAATACTGAATTTGGCATTCATACTAAAAAGTATACAACTATCTAAACATTTTTCTAGTATTTATAACCATTTTCTGGAAAGGTACAAATATAAGAACTCCAAGGTAATTAAAACAATCCAAGGTTTATTTGTGGTGACCTTATTTTTAAAATAAGCCATAGTTAAATGATAACATTTTGGAAGTTTTAAAAAATTTTACTTTATAAAATTATAATTTACTGATTATATTAATAGAATATCAATACTTTGAAAGAAATGTTTACTGTAGTTTTCATTATAGTTGAAATATTTTTGTAATCATTAATTTGTTCACTTGATTGTTGTCTGTTAATTTTCTCTTAATGGAAAATTGAACTATGAGACTGTATGCATTGCTTTGAAAAATTCATCTTTAGTGACAGGTTGTAAAAAATAAATATTGTAAGTAGCAACTTCCATAATATGCTTCAAGAAAGCTACAAAGTGGGCCCATTTTCAGGAAGACTTTATCAATATTTTAATATACATGAATGAGGCTGGATCTGAGGACTGTAGTCGTGTTGAGAGCATATGAGTAGCCTGTATTCTGCTTAGGTCTTTGTACTACTTTGTAATACTACTGTTCTGGCTTATTTGGCATAAGCCTAAAAATGGTGTTGGATGAGAATTGGTAGCCAAACGAGTTTAAAAGAGTACTAAAGAGCAACTTTGGAATGTTGCCAGCCACTTATAATCACTGCTCTCCCTGGTTCTAACATCTTACATTTTCAGCCAATCAACTATTGTAGTATTTCCAGACTCAGATCTCTTTAAAACCTAGTACCAGTGATGTTTTAGTGGCAGATTGGTGCTCAAAACAGAATAGTCTTAATTTTAAGAGAGCCATTCTTAGTAATAAGAGGCTTCTTGTCTCTTATTCCATCTAAAAATAGAAAGGAAATAGGGTATTGTTTAGAGATGTTTCACATTTGTATGTATGAATTAGTGATGCATGAAATCTCCAGTCACTTCTGAAATGTATTACAAATTATGACAAAGACATACTTGTACAAAGTAATAAAGTTGAAATGATTTTTTAATGTAGTTATTTAACAAAAATGTATAAGAATATGACTTACTATATGACTTTATATGACTTCATATTAGAGAGGTGATCTGTTTTTGATAGATATTTCTTAATTGACTTTGTAAACTAATGTTAGAAGAAATTCAAAATGAGATTAAATCTCTGCCCCACCTTAACTCATATGCATGCACACATAAAACATACACACTTTTCTCTTTCTCTCATCACCACTGTACCCCTCTGCTTATCTACCTGTCTGGATGATTATATTCTGAAATGGAAGAAAAGCAAAGTCCTATCGTTGATAATTCTAGGATCTTTTTTTGTCACCAGTATTGCTAGATACCTTTTCATTGTCGTTGGAGAAATATTTTTCTTCTAAAACCCAGTTCTTTAAATTACTCTCCCTTAATCATGTTCTTTACAATTTTTTTGCACAAAATTACTTAGTGATAGAAATGTCTCTTCATGGGCATGTTGACATCTTGCTGTCTTGTGTTGTTTTTAAGTTTTTTCCCCTGAAAGCTGGACTTATGAAAAATAATAATACTCAGTATTTTCTTATGTGTTACCTCATTTTCTCATCATGAGATGGGAATAAGTATCATTATGTTCATTTGAAACAGTCTAAGCTGCAGAGAAATTGACTCACCCATGATGCTTGAGGCTCCTACCCAATTCTAGGTTTTCATCTCTCAAGTGAATATCTTATTCAGCAGACCACCTCGTGGAGAATGTCAGTAAACATAGAGAGAAATGGAAGGGATTAACATTTGGATTTCTAATTGCTTTTAGTCAAAGTTCTAGATATTGTCTGATATTTCATTTATTCTTTGGAGCAACTCTAGATGATAGGTATTATTTCCCCCACCCCCTCCAGAGAACAAGGGAAGGCTCAGGATGTGTTGGGTGATGTGCAGAATATGGAAATGGTCTTAGACTTGGAGCTCTGTCTTCCATGTGTTCCTAGTAAAATCTAAGCAGTATAATAAAAGCATTTTAAACACTGTTTGAAAAGATGACGCGGTTAGAGGAGACTGACATGGTCGGAGAAAACTTGTTATGGTGGGTGAGACTTATGTTGAGTCTGCCAGGCCAGCAAGAAGTGGATAAGTGCAAGGGGGAGCCTAACACCCCATATGTACTGCAGAGCAAAGCAGAGGAGAAACCCTGAGTGAGCCTGGAGATGTTCAGCCAGAACAGATGGAGCCTGCTGGGAGAGGGTGATGTGTACCATGAGAGGTTGGGCTCTGGCCACAGGAGGCCTTGAAACTGTGTGGGAGCAACACTTCTAGAGTTTAAAGCTGAGACTCATCTGGGTTGAACATCCCATTTTACAGATAGGAAATCAAGATCCATGGAGGGGAAGTAATTGGCTTATTATCACAGCCACAGTTATTTCTATCATCCTCTGTCCTCAAAACTTGTGGTGAAGAAGAATATTGGCATGCCAGTGCCAATTCCTTATATGGAGCCCAAAATCTTTTCTCCTTATTGATGATGTAAACAAAAGTGAAGTCCCATTCTATATCAATATTTCGGTTGCTGTTTGCTTGCTCTTGATGGCTGACAGGTTCAGTTTGTCAAAGATCTCAAGATGTATTGGATTATGGCAAAGCTATTCTTTTCCCTGTTTGTGCTTATCTGAAAGAACTCAAAGTATGTTACCATCAGTTGCCATAAACTATACTTATATCCTTATATGGTTAGGAGAATGAAATGAAATGACAACATCTCTTTAGGAACAAAGATATCATTTAATTATATAGGATGTAACCACAGATACAAATGTAGTTCAAATGCTAGTTATCATTTTATTATTACATAACTACATATTTGCTATGTGCTTGGCATTCTGCTGCATGCTTTTCTTGCACTGAAATGTTGGTTTCCACATGTAGAGGAATAGAGGCTCAGATAGATTCAGTAACATGCCCAAGGTTCCACTCCTAGTGTGTAGTAAAAATGCTTTCCCAATCATTTTTCACAGTCCAGTTCTACCATACTTTTTTTGTTTTACCATGCTACCTCTATTAAATTCATCCAACATAAAGCAAACTTCAAAAATTTATTTCTGAAGTCACATATTATTGTAGAAAAGTAAGAAATTTAGATAGCTGAAGAAAATAGCATGCATGCACAATATGAGTAGTGAATTTGCATGTATCTTCCCAGACCTCTCCTCTCAGGTCCACCCTCATGCAATCACCCCACTTCAAACCAAGTCCACTTGAGCCCTGTTAGTCCATAGTTTAGCTTAAATTATGTGCTCACTTGTGTTTCATGATTATTTTCACAGCATTAGATAATGGCAGAGCAATTGGGCCTTGCTGGACAGTTTGGGGGAAGCAAACAGCAAATCTAGGTTTTAATTTAGGTGCTACCACTGACTTATTCTGTGCTATAAGGCTTTTAGCTTCTCTTCTATGCTCTTTCATTTCTTCCTGGATAAAATGAGGGAATTGGATGAGTTCTCTATTGTTTCTTTGGCTTTGGTACTTTTAAAAAGCTTTTACCTATTTATTTACCTGGGGCTTGAACTCAGGGCTTTGTATTCTCACTTGGCTTGTTCATTCATGTCTTGCAGTCTACCATTTGAGCTATATACCTCCAGTTCAGGGTTTCAGTACTTTTTATTTTAATAGTTATTCATACTTCCTTTGTCAGTCTCATGTAAGGAAGGCAGTGGACAGATCTCTATTAATTGTTAGAATTGTTTGGTGAGTTTCTTCAGCAGATAGTTGTTACCTTTTGTCTGGTAGTGTGTGGCCTATTGTGATCTTTGAACAAAGAGGCAAGAAACCTAAGATTAGGCAGATTAAAGGTGTTTTATAGAAGGGAGCTTTGAGGCTCATTTAATTACATATGGGAAGAAATAGTTTGATAGTTACTCATGCCTGTAATCCCAGTTCTTTGGGAGACAGATACTGGGATTGCAGTTTGAGGTCAGTTTGGGCAAACTTAATGTGAAACTAAAGTCAAAATAAAAGCAAATGACTTGGGGGATTGCTTAATTCTTAAAGCCTTTACTTTTGCAAGTATGGCTCTAAGTTGAATCCTCAGTACAAAACCACAACAACAAACAAAACAAGAAAGAAGGTAGAACTGGCAGTATGGCTCAAGTGGTAGATTGCCTGCCTCACAGAGGTGAGGCCCTGAGTTCAAACCTCAGTACTGCCATTAGTGAAAAATCTCATTATTGCCAGAAAAAAAAGAAAAGAAAAGTGGTTGCCTAATGCTCCTTATTCACTGAAGGAGAAGATAGCTTCATAAAAGTCTTAGAAAACTGTTAGTAAGCTCTAGTAAATAGGGTGAGAAAATGTTTTATTTCTACCTCTTGAATTTTATAATTGCCTAACAATAATGATTTTTTTTGCTTTGTACCTACTATATATTATTACTTTATATGCATTATTTCTATTCT